TAAGGTTTTTTTGTCTTTTTGTTGGTCTAATACTCACATCATCTGAATCAGAACTATATTCTGAAAAACTATGATTTTCTGAGACATTAGTATATATGTCGCTCAGACAGTCAGAGAAAGTATCTGCATAAAATTCACCGGAAAATTCTTCTTCACTCAACATTTCGCAATGCATCATTTTTGAAAGTTTTACGTTTATAATATACACAAGATTGGAACAAAAACCTAACGGAACAAAATGTGAATGATAACGACAATCATAAGTTGTATAATGAACCCTTGATCAATTTTAAGCTCTAACAACTTCTCACGTTATGTTAATTGTACCACTGTCTAAAAACGTATTGATACGTCTTCAGTCAATAACGTTCCGGTAACAAAAGACGAATTAATACGTCTCCAGTCAATAATGTGTTTAAGTAAAAATAAGGGTTACTTGAACACAAGCACTGCAATGTACTGCAACAGTCAGTCTGATAACCAAGTTGGCTACTAAGTAACTACCTAGCTGGATAAACTGGACAAAGGGATGATTCGTATCCAAGGCAGGACTGAGAAACGGCTGGAGATTTCATCACGCTACTCAGAATGCAATTTAAAACTTAGGAATTGTTTATTTCTGAAATTTTCCATTTTATATATATATATATATATATATTTTTTTTTTTTTTTTTTTTTGCGGTACGCGGGCCTCTCACTGCCACGGTCTCCCCCGCTGTGGAGCACAGGCTCCAGACACGCAGGCCCAGTGGCCACGGCCCACGGGCCCAGCCGCTCTGCGGCACGCAGGATCTTCCTGGACCGGGGCACGAACCCGTGCCCCCACACCGGCAGGCGGACCCCCAACCACTGCGCCACCAGGGAAGCCCTCCACTTAATATTTTTGTATCATGGTTGACCGTGTATAACTGAAACCATAGAAAGCAAAAATGTAGATATGGGGTGGCTACTGTATTATGAAGTTTCAGAAGCAGAAGTAATTTAATTGGGTAGATTGGGAACAACATTATGGAGGAAACAACATTCAGTGCTGCAAAAAGTCGGTAAACCCTTGGTATTCACACCATAACATTTTCAGTGTTGACGCTTCTAAAACAAAGCCAAGGTACATGATCTGTAGTGATTTGTGACTTTCCTAGATTTCAGGTTTGAATTTAGGAAGTGTGCCACTGAGCTTGTACAGGAACCTAACCTACTGCTGAGGATCTATATCTTTAACCTAATCTTGATTCTTATTTAATACACTTTGTCATCTCTTGAGGTAGAGGAGGAAATTTCACTGGAGTCTAGCTGATATAGTCTGGGCTTGGTTCCAAGCTGTGGGTTGGGACTACGTTGGCTCCCCATATCTTTCATCTTCCTTAGATCATTGGATATCTTAAGCAAAAGTGTGGAGCAATAGCGGGCATGTCCAACTGCAGGAGCGCATTTTAAGCCTCTGCTTGTGTCACAGCAGTCACATGTCTAAGTTCAAACTCAAGGGGACGAAAAGTCCAGTTTAATGACTATGAGGCAAGGGTGTGTATGTTTAATAACTACCTGGGAATGAAGAACTGGGATCATTACTTCAGCCTATGACATATTCTATAGTGGGATTTTTTTTTTTTAATTTGGGGGTGTAAGTATACTTTTCTGAAGTTCTCTCATGTGTCAGGAGTCCATTCTGAGAAGATATTCTGCACAGTTTCATAGACAGCTGATATTTCAAAGCAGGGTAGTCTTTGACCCTTCTGAAAAACTATAAAGGAAAATTGGCCTTGGGGTATCCTTTACTTGATTTTTAGAAGGTTCTTTTTTTCATTTAGTCACTCTTCTGTTAGTTTTGAGACTAACAGACTTTTCCAAATTCATCCCAGCTAGGTCATATGATCTCCATGTGAAGAAATGTAGAACTCATTTCTTTGGAAAATGTCAAGTTGCCAAAGGTTTTTAAGAGGAGTTAAAAAATCTGACCTTTGAAATACTACAAGAAATTGGAAATAGATTCTACAGATATTCAAATGATGCCATGTGTTAGACTCTGCCAGTGGTAGCAGAATAGAAAATTATCCCAAGAGAAATAGGCAGAAATTAATGGTAGAGGGAGGCAAGACAGATTTGAGTGGCTTAATATCCATATTTCTTTTAAGATGTCACAGGTAAAAACAATTGAGATGTTATTTGTTGGCACTTTTCTCATGGACCAGATGAAATCAAGCCAGAGGATGGAATCATCCAGTGGACCACTGTTGCCCACTCCTCTGGAACACAGGGAGTTTAGAGGGAGAAGAACAGAACTTTCATAGGTTTGAATCCCAGTTTGACACGCCCCTAGAAATTTGGACAAGTTTCTTAGCCTCCTTGGCTTTAGGGGACTTATCGGTAAAACATAGATAATACCTCCTTATTGGGTTATTGTGATATTAAATAAAGTAATGCTTGTAAACACTTAGAACAGTGCCTGACATATAGAGAGTACTTGAACAGTGCCTGACATATAGAGAGTACTTGATCAGTGTTATTATTAATGTTCTCTGATCGGTTTTGTTTAGTTGTCTAGACCTTAGTATCAATAAGTAAATGTTTGGAGAACCAGAATTGCAGGAAGGTTATCAGCTTTAGAATTCTGGGTTCAGTCTTAGCCTTGGTACTTACTGGCTATGTGAATTTGGCAAAATTATTTAACCCTCTAATCCTCAGGATCTTTATCTGAAAATGTATTGCAACCATCTATCTCATAGGGGTATAAGAATAATTGACATGAACATTTTAAAGCACAAAGTATGGTGCCTGCACATACAATAAATAGATGTATCATAATCATTATCAAGAAATCCAATTTAGAGGGAAGAAAATCCTGCATAGATCTTCAAACCATTTAACACGCACCTGAATCTATCATCAAGAATTTTATGACAACACGCTTTCAGAAAATTATTGATACTTGATGCTTTGTTGGACACAAAGAAATATTTAAAATTCAATAACTGGAATTTATTAAATTATTAGATTTCATTTTTTCCTTTTTATAATTTGCAAATTATTTTGATTTTAATTTTTTTTGATAAAAATTAAAAATTTGTAAGTGTTTCTAGTACTTGTTTGAGTACATGCCATGTGCTAGTCATTATGGGAAAGATTTCAAAGCTATATTAATTAGGTTCCCTAGCAGGGGCACTTGATTTAACATTACCAGGTACTTTGGTCCAGTATAGGAAATAGATATGTTTTCCTGAATAGAATCTTCCTCAGAGTTTTTGGGGTAAATTGCAAAAATGGCTACAATTCTTTGCAGCACCTCCCATTAAGAAATGGAGTCTATTTTCCTACCCTTTGAATCTGGGCTGCTGGTAGACAGTGGTAGAACTGATGTTGTGTGTGCTGCAGGCTTGGCCCTCACGAGGGCTTGTTTGCTTCTAACTACTTTATTGGAACCCTGCTACTATCATGTGAACTAGCCTAGTCCGGCCCACTGGAGGATGAAAGATGACATAGAAAAGATGAAACATCTCAGCTGAGGTTCCCCTATATTAGCTGTCCCTAGCTCACCTGAAAGGTGACTATGGATGTAGTGAGCCCAGCTCAGACCAGAAGAACTATCCAGCTGAACCCAGCCCAAGGTGTTAAACTGCAGAAGCATGAGCAGAATATCATGACCGGAAACTACAGAATAAATGATTGTTATTTTAAGCCATGATGTTTAAGGGTGGTTTGTTAGGCAACAGATCGTAATTTATACCCCCTCTATTGCTAGGATGTAAGTCTGTCTTCTCAGCCTCCCACAGTGAGAGCTATGGAAAAGGTCTTAGAGAAGGCTTTTCTTATTCTGAATTACCCTCATAGCTCTCTGTACATAAGAAAGAGTAAAGAATCAGGACACTGTAGCTTCCCTGACATCATTGGTCACTTGAGAATGGGCCCCCTTTCTAACCTAGTCAAATCTAATTTTGATTTTGAAAGTTGTCTATTTCCCCTGAACCATAGACAAATCTAAGATGGTGCCTGTGTACCTTTTGTAGTGACAAAGTCCTTGGGATATAGTTTAAATATAGAACAAAAAGCATGTGAATCTAAACCACTTCTCTAATAGATCAAAAATCAGAAGATGGATCAAAAATTAGTTAAGGCACTTAGGTTTACACAACACATCATATAAACATAATTCATTTTTTTCAGAGTAAGGGATGGTGTGAAAAGGCTGAACAATAAGTAAATAAGAATAAGGCATCTGGCAGTAGGTTTTCTGTATCTCTCCCTTCCTTTCCCAGTTTCCAACACTCCTATCTGTGCTATAAGACTTTGGTTTTGCTCTAAATACACCTGAATGCCAATCCTGGGCAAAAGTGGAAAATGAGAAGGTTGTCTTTTTGTGCCTTTTACCCCCAATTTTCTGTGAAAGCCTTCTCTCCTTTGGGCTTTTCTCTCCAGGTTCCTTTGGATGCTCATGATTCCCTGGGCATCCTTCTCTAACAGCTCTCTCAGCCAGTGCCACAGGCCTTTCCCTTCATTCTGGCTCTGAAAATATGCCTGTACTGTCCTCTTTTCCTGCGTGTGCTCTGATTAGATAGGCAATTAGTGGCAATAATCACTTAATTGTATAGTTATCCTCACCCCACTCCTATAACAGGTTACTCCTAAAGAAATAATACTATAGCCCTTAGGCCTGGTAAACAATGGTGGTAATATTCAAGTTTTGGGATATGCAGTCTTATTAAAGGCTTCTCAATACACAGCACTATCTGTGGAATCCACTCTTTAGAGCCAGCTGTGGAGGTAGTGACAAGACCAAATTAGAACTGTTTGTCATGATCTAATTCTTTTAAGAGACTCCTACAGATGGCTTTTGGAATCAAGTTTTTAAAATCCCTTTTATAGCTAATAATTGGGAGTCTCTGAGACCTGTGTATAAAAGCAAATGCATTACGGAGTCTTTCCACTGAGCCAGAGCTCAGCTTATCCTAATTAAGAAGCCATTTCATCAGCAATTGTAGCCTGTGACATTTTTGTATCCTGCAGAGTTAGGAGGAGGCCCTTTTTGAGTAGAATTCGCAGAGGAGGTATTCTACTGGTGAACATCTCAAGTGACTGCCTTTAGGTAAGAGTTTAAAAATAATTTGAGAGTAGTCAGTTTGAAAAACGTTTATAAGGAGCCAGCATAAACTGAACACACAATACATTTCTTTTTATAATTTGCTACCTAAAATAAGTGCAGTCTCTTAAAAAAAAATCTAAATTATTTCGTCCCTAATAATACGGTGAGGATACATTAGGTTTCGAAAAAGTATACAGTACTGAGAAGTTGGTTATGAACTGGTGACTATAAATACTACCTAATTTGAATCAAGTAATTTACATTCTGATATCACAAAGAAGTGCTATATATTTTTTCCTTTACTTTCCATCACCAGAAGAGTTATGTAATAGAATAAGGTTTATATCAATCTTTTTCCAGTTTTATTCTCTATTCATTAAGGAGGACTATGACATATAAAAATTGTGAAATTTTTCTCAAATATATTTCTAGAAATTTCTTGCTAGTCAAACCTGATATTTTGTATTCTGGTTTGTGGCTGTGTTCTAAAACACAAGTATGTGTGCACACAAGTGTGTATGTATATACATTGAGATGGTTAGAGAATAAGACTTAGAGACTAAAAATCATATTCTACCCTGTCTTCTGGAAGACTGTTCCCTGATCTTGACTGAGTGAACAGTTAAATTGAGGTGAATAAGAGCATTTATAAAGGAATGAGCAAAATTTTGTTTTACTATGCCCCTTGGGGTGAAGACACATTTAAATATTTGAAATGGAAAAAAATAAAGTCAGGGGTGGTAGATAAGCACACCCTATATCCTCTCCCTTTGTAAAGTCTGTCATCACAAATCGCTTAGTATTTAAAATCAAAACAGAATAGAGGCTGTGGTAGACAGTCTCTAAGGTGGCCCCCATTGATCCCCACCTCCTAGAATTCGTACTCTTGTATATTCCACTTCCCTTGAGTGTGGGCTGGACCTGGTCAATTGCTGCCAAGGAATATAACATGGCAGATGTGATGGTATATCCCTTTCAAGATTAAAGACTGCAGCTTCTGTCTTGGGTACTCTCACTCTCTGTGGGATCACTTGCCCCTGGGAAAACCAGCTGCCATGTCATAGGTGCCAATGTGAGAGAGCTTAAAAGTGGATCTCCTTCCAGTCGAGCCTTGAGATGACTGCAGCCCTAGCTGACCCCTGATTGCAACCTTGCAAGAGGCCCTGAGCCCGCCCACCTAGGTAAGTCACTCCCACCTGCCTGACCCACAGAAAGCTATGAGATGACAAATATTTGTTATTTTCAGCCCCTAAGTTTTAGGGTAATTTGCAATTAATACAGAGGTTTTCCATTATAAATCTCGGAATTTAGTGATTTGAAAAAAAAATGAGAAGGATTATTGCAGTTTTTGCCTCATAGTAACCCCTGGACACTGCATAAATGTATGGATTCGTTTCTATAATGTAGTAAGTAATTTTCAGTACTAGTGATGTCTCCATGTTTTGAATAAAGATCTTTCAACTCTGAGATTCAATTTGTTCATTTGTATTTCGTTGTTTCTTTTAAAACATTTTTTCTCTTGCTATAACATTGGAAGAGACCTATTTTGCATCAGGACCCTGGATATTTTCCTTGACTCCTGACCCATTATTTGAGGGCCGTCTTGTGTGCGTGATTAATCACCTCAGGGCATTCAGTGTTAGTGCAGCTGACACAGGTTTCTTATAATCAGTCTCAGGTTTGTCTAGGAAGGAGAGCTCCTGGCTGGTGACGAATAAGCAGTCTTTCAGATCAAAATCTATTGTTCTACAGAAGTTACAGATGAGGCATATTACTCGTTTAAATTATTGCTTATCTTCAAACTCTCATTTTGGAGAAAAAAAGTGGTGACTTTATAGTCAAGAGCTCAGGATTTAGAGTTAGAAATGCCAAGATTCAAATCTCAGCTCTGCACTTGGCATATTGCCAACAAGATAGCTGGGCAATCTTAGACAAATTTCTTAATCTCTCCAAGTCTCAGTGTCTTTATTTGTGAAATAGGAGTGATAACACTTTCCCACAGGTTGTCTTGAGAGTTTCATAAGGTGATGTATGTATTGTGCCTGGTAGGTATTAACATCTTAACAAATGGTGGTTGAGGTATTTTTACTACCACTTCCACCTTCACAACTACCAGTACTCATTAAGAAAAAGCATAATTAGAATTGCTTCAAGGTATCCTACCAAAACTAAAATTCATTATTGTTTCCTAGAAAAAAGCAGCAGGATCTACCTCTGATCTTCGTCAAAAACGTTACCATATTTATTGAGGTTGTATGGATGTCTTAGGTAATCTGCTGCAATTTGATTACATCCCAGATTGAAGTAGACAGGTTGCCTTGGTTACAGTCCTTGTATCACTTACCTAATACTGGTACTGACCTAAGAAATGTAGGGGAAGACTGGGTGGGAGTTATCTATTTAATTTGTTAAAGTTCCAGGAAGATTGACCCAGTACCTCCAGAATAGAATTTATTATAAACTATTTAGACTGAAAGATCACTTGTTTCCTTTTCTTTCCTATCACAATGATTTGTTAGTGATGATTTACTACTATGTGTGAACAAAAAGGTGTCAGTCCATCTGTCTCACAGTGGATTTTATGATACAAATTCATCATGTAGGGCTCTGGCTTTGTACTTCATGTGCTGAAAAGCTGAAAGGATGTGGAAATGAATCCTAGAATCTGCTATGAAGACTTTTATTCCCACTTACTTCTGAATAAGTGGTCTTGAAAACTAAAGACCCTTCATTGATTATTTTATTCTTGGCTATAATATTTTGATCTCAAGTTAAAATTATATTTCTATTTAAAAAAATTAGTTACTAAATATTTATCTAACCCAGGGTCTTTCCATGTTCATGACCTATGTTTAGGCACTGGAGGTTAAGAACAGGCATTCTGCAATGCAACTGACATTGGGCCCGTTAACAATTTTCTGCTTTCTTCATCTGGATGAAAATGCAGATAATAATGAATAGTTTTCATAGAATTGTTATGAGTATAAAATGAGATGATCCATGTAAAAATCTTATAACCATGCCTGATAATATAATTGCTCAATAAATATTTGCCATTGCTCTTATTATCACCATCACCCCTGCCAGAGCCCTTTTATTTTATTTTATTTTATTTATTTATTTTGCAATACGCGGGTCTCTCACTGTTGTGGCCTCTCCTGTTGTAGAGCACAGGCTCCGGACGCGCAGGCTCAGCTGCCATGGCTCACGGGCCCAGCCGCTCCACAGCATGTGGGATCTTCCTGGACCGGGGCACGAAACCCTGTCCCCTGCATCGGCGGGCGGACTTTCAACCACTGTGCCACCAGGGAAGCCCTAGAGCCGTTTTTTAAAAAAAATTTTATTTTTTATTTTTCTTGTGAAAAGCAATGGGAATTCCTTGGGGTAAATGTGCTATGTCATAGATCATTTGATAATTAAAACAAGTATTAAATAAATAGATAACACTTTTTGGCATTTCTACAAATCTCAGGCTGTGTAGCAGGCGTCAGGAATTCAAATATGAACAAGAAACTCACAGTCTAGTGGGGTAAATGGATGTCATAGTATAGAAAAATGGGACTAAATAATAGAATTTGAACCAAGACCAATAGGAATTCAGAAGAACTTTGCTGAGGATAGTTCAAGGAAGGTATCACCAAGTAACTGCTGTTTGAACTGGGTGTATAGAGAGTAGCATTTTACCAGATGGAGAAGAGGAATGAGATCCAGGCAAGGAAAAAGCTCGTCTAGAAGCAGAGCACGGCTGGAGGGGAGGGGTGTGAGGAAGGGAGCTGTAGGAGCAAGGGTGGTGCCAGGTTGAAAAGGCTTTTTTCTCTCTGCCAGGCTAAGACATGTGAAATTCACTGCACTCATTAAAAATATCTAACAAGGAGAATGTTATGATCATCTTTGGGTTTTATTAAAATCTGGGAGCAGCACTATGACATTATATGAAAGGAGTGATTAGTTTGGAGAGCATGTTCCCAGGTTGATGTGATAGAAGTTTGAACACGAACTGTGGAGTGGAGATGGAGGAGGAAACTGTAGGTTTTAGAGAAGAGACCAGAAAAGACAGGGACCTAAAAAGCATGGCGTAGACGAGGATAAAGAAGGCCTCCTGGCCCGAGGTTGGGTGACTAAGTAACGACTTTTTCTTCATTCTTGTTCTCATGTATTTCAGACTTGAGTAAGTGAGAGATGGGAAGTTTTCATTCTTATGAGCAAAGGAAAAGATAACAGCAATTTTAGTAAGAATGATTAATCGTGGCTCTTAATCACAATAAATTATTCTCACCTATAAAGGGTTCTCACCTAAAACACTTGGCAAACTATAGAAGTTAAGGGATGCCTCTCTTTTTACTTTTAAGTCTGGTTTTCTATGCAACCTAACCTTTTTTTTTTTTTTTCTATGGGGGGTGGTTACTGAAAATCTTAGTAGATAATGTGAAACAGGCATTGAGCTAAAAATCTAAAACTGTTTAAAATCTGTCAGAGAGATTAATGGAAACATATCGATTTGGGTTTGGGTGGGGGGAACTTCACAGATTATACCAGGTTTCTAAAAGAGCCACGTGCTGAGAGGAATTATTTACATAGAAATGCAGTTCCTTTGTCCAGAATATTCATTCGTGTGAACAAGATCTAAAATGCCTAAGAGTATAATATGAATGCATGTATGTATACATATATATGTATAGGTAGATGAATAGAGATGTACAGAGAGAGAGAATATATGTGTATTTCATATAATCTACCTTGGTCAGCTTCATTCCAAGATGATTAAAGAAGTCTTAGTAACACTTGCTTGTTTAGTAACCACATATGATTTTTTGCTCCAGAGGGAAATTTGGTTATGAAAACAGCATGAATCAGATGATCTCACCATGAATACTGAATAATATCTTCCAGACCCAAATTGTATCCAAATCAACTCAGACTATGTTTGAAATACCAGATGTTCTCTACTCTTCTTTCCTCTTTCCTTAAAGTATCTG